TCACCATCCAACAGGAACCTATTTAACATGGATAATCAGATCCCACGACATACTGGGTATAACAGCAAAATTGTCCAATTGTTAGATTAAGCTTTAAACCTTTGTATCTTAGAAATGATTAAAGATATCTTACTGGAATTCTCAGGTTTTTATAACACTATTGGACTCTACTTTGAATAATAAGAATATATTTATCTCTAAGTTGAAATGATGATTCCTCTTCCTGTTGTGACCTCCTGATTCAGTTTTCCACTGTACTGTTCACTCTTTTTAAATTGTTCTCTTGATGGTTCTTGAATGGATGGATTTGGAAGCCAGAGTATAAATGTTGGTACCATTACTGAAGGCCTGAATGATCATTTTTGTTTCACCATTGCTCAGTTGGGAAGATATAGTGGGTCTGACACAAAGTGAATTTAACCTGTTCTCTTTCTCACTGAACAACTCAAAGGGTTTTTCAATGATTCTTATGACAAATGGCATCAAGTATCTTATCTGAAAACCTGGAGAAAAGAAACTCAGTTTAGTGGTTTTTAGATATTAAACATTTTGTGGGATGGACAATTATCCCCTGCTTTTACACGGTTTGGATAATTTTGCTGTTACACCTAGTATATATATATATATATATATATATATATATATATATATATATATATATGTGTATATATATATATAAGTATTGTTAGGAATTCGACACTGACAGGATAAATAACAAGTAGGAAACATATGTCTGTCTATATTTCTGAGATGAGGTATTATGTATATTATTTACATTATTCGGACTATTGTCCTCATATTTGTCGCCATATTTATCTCAACGTTTCGCCCATTGTACGCTCCGGCCTTCGTCAGGTGGTTGGAATGTCGAACCTCAGTGAACAAAATAAAGGGTTTGGTTCGACATTCCAACCACCTGAAGAAGGCCAGAGTGTACAACGGCCGAAACGTTGTGATAAATATGGCGACAAAGATGAGGACAATAGTCCGAATAATGTAATAAGTTTCACTTTGTTAAAGCTTTGTCAGAGATCAAGATAAAAATGACAAAAAGCAAACAAATGCAAATTAATGGTATGTTGTGTTTGGTTATTTCTTATTGGTAAGATACGTGTCATATATAATGAAGTAACAGATAACATCCAATTATGTTTAAGAAACATTCTGGATGCTGAAGTATGCAAAAGTTATTGAGACACAGCAGGATGTTTTAAAAAAAATTGTTTATGTTTGATTTGTCATCAAAGCATATCTTATGTGCATTTTGTATATATCTTTGATTTTTATGTATTGAAAAGAGGTAAGTTAGATTCAGGAAAATATATATATATATATATATATATATATATATATATTTAACTTATGAAGAACTTGGTAATCTGTATGGGTAATCCCAAGGAGGATGAAATCCTGAGAGCTCAATGTAAATCCAGAGCTAATATTTTAAAGAAAAACAGACCACTTTAAGGTTCCATTAAAGTGGTCTGTTTTTCTTATATATATATATATGTGTGTGTGTGTGTTATCCCACTTGGCTTTGCCAAAATGCCTATTAAAGGATGCTCTCTAAGTATGATATTCTCTCTCTTCATTTTTTTATCTCTTGCTTCAAGACATAGCTGACCTCAGTAAAAGACTGCTGACAGGATGTATTCACTTCCTTGGTCTTCTGTTGACTTTTGAACTCTCTCACACACATGCATGCATCTATCACACGTTTGTTTCACGCATGCACACACAAACAAGCACACTCTTACAATTAATGTATTTTCCTTTCATTACAGTTGTGTACACCTGTAATTCCTTGTTAATAACATGCATAATCTGCTTTATGCTCATTGTATGGCATCCCTTATTTTTACCTGGACATCAGTCAGTCAATATTGTTTGTGGGATATTTACTATAAAATGTCTATACACAATCAAAGAGGTAAATACCCACAACATAATGGTAACTTATTTCTACTCAAATATACTAGTATCCTGCTTTATATATTTTATTATAAACTGTTATAATGGAATATGCAAGTTACCACAACAATGTTGTAGTAACTTGCATGTTCCAATGTAGCAGTTTATAATAAATATTCATTGCTCTACTCTTGTATTGAGCCCTTTTTTAAATTAATTTACATTCTGTTCATTCTCAAAGACACTCAAAATTGACCAGGACTGAATTACTTTCTTACTAAATATCAAATTCAGTTATGTTTCCAAAGAATTAAACACTTTTCCCCACTGATCAATAGTAAAAGAAATGTTATGAAAAAAACAAATGTATTTGTCAAAGCAATTTTGAAATGTAGAGATCTTTTTTTAAATTATAATTTTTTTTTCCTGTTATTTGGTGCAGTCTTCAATATTTTGTAGCACCATTGTTCAAAGTTTTTCCCAGTTTTTCTTTTAAACTGTTTAGACACTGGAATAGATAGCAGTGTAGGAAGTTTATGATTGCATGCAAAATATCCACCATGATTATTCTCCTTCATCAACAGTCTTTAAATGTTCAACTTCTGCATGTCATCAAAAAGGGAATTCCCTTTAAGCAACCTTTCTTGAAAGCTAAAATAAAAATATAGTTTTGTATAATCATGTCATTAAGAATGTTATCCTGAAAACCTTTCTAATACCTCTTCATATTTATAGAAATCAGACATCACCCAACAGAATGAATGAAATGATCGCCACTTGTGACCAGACCAATGAAGTTCAGATGCAGAGAAGTTTAATTCATTCTCAGTATAAATGTCTTTCTAATTAATATTTATTCCAATAAATTTATGCACATCATGCATGAGAATAACTGTTAACAATGATTATCATAATTATAATATTTGTCTAAAAATACAAAGAGTGAAACTGAATAAGTCCTCATCATTGTAGAATTAGATTTCTACATTTTCTGTTTTAAACCTGTTCAAAGAGGATCAAAGTTAAGTATTCTCAGTTTGTGTTGAACCCATTAATATTGGTTCCAGAGATCAGTATGAAACAATGCTTTCTGATTGATCCATAAATAATAATATTATGTTTCTGCCTACGTCCATACAATTGACTTTGAGTTGACCTGTTCAGAGTTTAATGCACCAAAAATAGGTAAATGTTCTCAAACCCCCATGTGATCAAGGAAAACTCATAAATAGGAAACTTTGACATGACATTGTGAGTCCTTAAAATAATCAACTCGCTACATGGATCTATCAAACCCAACTTCCTCACTAAAAGTTAATTTTTATTAACATCAACCTGGCTTCTGGAATTTAATTTCTTTTCAACATCAACTCATCTAGTGACCAATTCAACCAAGACAAGATTTCTTAAAACATCTCACTCAATATCTTAACTGCATAAAGGAAATTGTAACCATATCATTTGAAGTGAGACAACTCTACAGTAAGTCAAGTAATCTATTGTATTCAATTTCATCATCACCATAAACTGTTTAATTTCTTACCAGATCTATAGCATTGCACCTTTTATATTTATTATTGATCACATAACCAAGAACTCTAAAGTTTTTAACAACTTTATTATATCGTGTGTACTTGTTATGATATAAAAATATTATTTGTTAAAACAAATATCTGCCTATTTGATCGTTTCTTTTGTTGTTGTTGTCTTTGTTGCATTTGATTTAGTAAAAATAGTAGAGGGTCAATTTAATTTGTATTTTGTCACCGATACAAACTTGCTAACTCACTACACCATAATCAATTATGCCTTTTTAGATATACAAAAATTCTTTTAAAAGTAAAGATACATTAATTATTTTTCTAAATGAAAATAGCAAAAAACTGTTTTAGACAATATGGAAATATTACTAAATATACAAATGTTAAAAATTGCATTGACTTTTTCACAGGTTTAGAAGTTTTTTTTTTTACAGTAAGGTTCATCACCCTGTGCAAGGCCTGGGGGCCACTTTAGGTAAAAGTTTACAATAAAGGATAGTTTATATGAATAGAAGGGAAAGGTAATGGTTGATTCTAGACTTGAACAGCTTAAGATTGTAGTAATCATGGAAACATCCTCTTGGGAGTTTGTTCCATAAAGCAGTAGTTCGCAGGAAGAAGCTGTTTGAGTAGAATTTACTTCTTGCTGATGAAATACAGAGGGAATGCAGATGGTTTGCTATTATATAAGTGGCATGGCAGGTCCTAGCTGTGAAGGTCAAACCTGGTGGAATTAGGAGATGCAGTTTTCCTGAGCACTTTCCAAGGCATTAGTGATAGTTTAGGGTCTGATCGGCGGTGATGGAATGTAACCAGTTTGATTTTAGGGGCATTGAATGTAACCAGCCAAATTTTTTTTCTCCACTGGGAAGTTACTGTTAGATCGGAAGACAGGTAAGCTCCCAATCTCTGATTGTCAAGACTTATAGAGGTGTGCCTGTATATTGTCTTGTCATCGACTTAGACGTTTACAAATGATTGAAATATATTTTTAGATAGCTCATTTAGGTAAATCAAAAAGCGGGTTGGTCTGAGAAGTAAGCGCTGGGGATACCTACATTGACTGCCAGGGCCTCAGAGAACTGGCTGTTAATAACTACCTTCAGGGATTTACCTGTTAGGAAGGATTTTATAATAGAGAAAATTCTTCCCATGATTCCATAGCTGGAGAGCTTGTGTAGCAAACCTTTGTGCCACACCTTGTCATAGACCTTCAAGATATCTAATGCTTTGGTCCTTGTTGTCTGTCATCATGGACCCCACCAAATCTGTGTGTAATGGTAGTTAAGACATCAGCAGTGGATTGGGCTGATTAAAATCCATACTGCTCGTCGCACAAGAGGTTGTTCCTATCCAGGTGCTTGATGATCTTGTTCATTAAAGCCTCAAAAATATTACATTTTAAGATTGGTTGACCATAAGTAAAGAATATACTGTAGATATCATGCTACATCTGTGGAGAAAGAATTTTTTGTTTATAAGCAAGTGTACACCTATTTGATTAAACCTTAAGCAACTCCACTAGTGATGTTAGTCTGACTTAAGAAACTAAAAATAATGAAAAAAAGAGAAAAAAAAGGAAATATGAAAATACAAAAGCAACAAAGAGAAAGGGAAAAAGAGGAGGAAGAAGAAAGGGAAAAAGAAAAGAGGAAGAAGAAAGGGAAAAAGAGGAGGAAGAAGAAAGGGAAAAAGAGGAGGAAGAAGAAAGGGAAAAAGAGGAGGAAGAAGAAAGGGAAAAAGGAGGAAAAAAAGAGAAGAAGAAAGGGAAAAGAAAAGAGGAAGAAGAAAGGAAAAAAAAAAAAGGAAGAAGAAAGGAAAAGAAAAGAGGAAGAAAAAGAAAAGAAAAGAAGAAGAAAGGAAAAAGAAAGAGGAAGAAGAAAGGAAAAGAAAAGAGGAAGAAGAAAGGGAAAAAGGAAGAAGAAAGGAAAAGGAAAGAAGAAAGGAAAAAGAAAAGAGGAAGAAGAAAGGGAAAAAGAAAAGAGGAAGAAGAAAGGGAAAAAGAAAAGAGGAAGAAGAAAGGGAAAAGAAAAGGGAAAAGAAAAGAAAAGGAAGAAGAAAGGGAAAAGAAAAGAGGAAGAAGAAAGGAAAAGAAAAGAGGAAGAAGAAAGGGAAAGAAAAGAGGAAGAAGAAAGGAAAAAGAAAAGAGGAAGAAGAAAGGAAAAGAAAAAAAAGAAGAAAGGGAAAAAAGAAAAGAGGAAGAAAAAGGAAAAGAAAGAGGAAGAAGAAAGGGAAAAAGAAAAGAGGAAGAAGAAAGGGAAAAAGAAAAGAGGAAGAAGAAAGGGAAAAAGAAAAGAGGAAGAAGAAAGGGAAAAAGAAAAGAGGAAGAAGAAAGGGAAAAAGAAAAGAGGAAGAAGAAAGGGAAAAAGAAAAGAGGAAGAAGAAAGGGAAAAGAAAAGAGGAAGAAGAAAGGGAAAAGAAAAGAAAGAAGGGAAAAAGAAAGAAGGGGAAAAAGAAGAGGAAAAAGGAAGAGGAGGAAGAAAGGGAAAAAGGAAGAGGAGGAAGAAAGGGAAAAAGGAAGAGGAGGAAGAAAGGGAAAAAGGAAGAGGAGGAAGAAAGAGAGGAGGAGGAGGAAGAAAGAGAGGAGGAGGAGGAAGAAAGAGAGGAGGAGGAGGAAGAAAAAGAGGAGGAGGAGGAGGAGAAAAAAAAGGAGGAGGAGGAGAAAAAAGGAGAAGGAAAAAATGGAGAAAAGAAAAAAAGCAAGGAAAAACAAAAAATGCCAAGAAAAAAAAAAAGTAAAAGTAAAATTAAGGGAAAAATGTTGCAAAAACACATTATTTTATACTGTATTTAAGAATTCTACCAAATTAACATAGAAAGAACATAAAAAAGGCATGACGGGGTAGCAACAGTCATGCACTGGGGATCATGCAAGCAATGTGAGTTCAGTCATGTAGACAAATGCTATTAGCACAAGTCAGAAACTGTTTTCTTGTACAGAGAAGTTAAATTTTTTCCCTCAATATTTAAAAAAAGAAATAAAGATAGATCTCTCTTACTAATAGATGTCCAATCAAACTATTATTTGCAATGTTGTCTATAATTGTCCTGACAATTCCGCTGTCAAACATCATTTTCACATCAATTATGGCAAAGCAGCACTTGGGCTATGTCCATCTAGATCAATCAATAATCTGCTCACAATGCAGTTCTTGTTCTTTGTTAGTGCACTGCTTAGGCAATAGAAATGCAAGCAGGTTGCTGCTAGCTGCAGGGATTTACACAAATGAAAAACAGAGCCACATTGGAGAAGAAAGAAGAATGAAGTTCTGGAATTATATCATTCTGAATACTTACGAAAAAAAAAAAAAAAAATTTTTTCCTCCCCCAGGAAAGAAGAGATGCACCCCATCCTATTCGAAGAAATCCTTATATGGAAACTTCAGAAAATTACTTTTAATCTGTGATCTATTGATTTCTTTGGAGTAACCAACCCATCTTGATTGTTATAGTCACAGCCTTTTGGCTGTTGTATTCTCTGGCCTTCTTCATCTGTTTGTCTTTTATCCACATAGCCATGTGCAGGGATACATGCCGATCTCATTTTGTTTATATATCTTTTAGTTCATTCAGACTAGTCTTTGAATGAAGACCGAAGAAAAACTCATCTTAAGCGACATATTTCATCCCCTGTTGGGCATTATCAAGGCAACTGTGAGGATTTTATTTCACAACAAGTATTTATTAAAAAGGAAGTAGAAATTGTGTCTGTCTTGTCTGGTTTTCTAAGTAAATGTGAACTCCAATTCTAACATAAAACTCATGGCCTGCATGTTGTGAGCACTTTGACCCAAACGAGAAAAAGTTGGTGTTATGTATCTCTCTCAGTCGCAGACTCATGCTGACTATTAGCTAATACCCACCCAGTATCGTTTTTATGCAAATTTGGTCATCACCACCTACTCTAAGTAGAATGTTCTCTTTCAACAGCCAATTATGAAAGAGGACGTAACTCTTGGTGTTTACTGCACCACATGCAACCAACTCTGGGTCTCTTGTTGGGTTGACTAGATTCTCCATTACAGAAATGTCTTTAGTTTTTCAGAATTTTTTAATTCAAAAATGCTCATAAGTGTTGTTAGCATATATATATATATATATATATATATATATATATATATATATATATGCTAATGCCCCATCAAAATGTGTAAATTTCTTTTTTCATTTTAACCTTTGGAAGTAAAGTCTGATGATCCAGAGCCCTTTAAAGGGCTGTGGTGAAATAATTTATTACATGGAACCTTAAAGTGGTCTGTTTTTATTAAAAAAAAAAAAAAAATATATATATATATTTTTTTTTTTTTTTTTTTTTTTCTCAAATTTGTTTTACCGTTTACAGTTCTGACAAGAGAGGATGAAACCGGTTGACTTGCATTTGTGTTTTAAAATTTATCATAGCTTATAGTAAAAGATTTCTTCCCTTTAATGCCATAATATGTTTTTGTACCATTAAAACATATATATATATATATATATATATATATATATACACACACACATATACATACATATTTTTTTATATATATATATATATATATGTATGTATATACCCAAATATAGGATTGGTGTATATGGAATAAATTCCAATAACTAAAAATACTGTTAGAATAGAGCAAATATATTTTTTTCAAAATTCTAACATAAAAATGTTATAAAATCACTATAAAATAGCCATTTTGTTTTACACCATCACTTGATAAGACACCAAAAGTGTTGAAAGAAAATGGCTATTTTGTAGTGATTTTATAACATTTTTCCAATTTTCAAATAAATTTTATATATATATATATATATATATATATATATATATATATATATATAGTAGTACTTGTTTGGTAAAACCTCGGATAGCTCAACTTGCAGTAGAATAAATCAGTACCCGAGGAAAAAATAGGAAATAAAAAAAGAAAGAACCAAGAACATAAAAACAAAGTGAAAACAATTATCAAGTGTTTAAGCTCCAAGTCCAAAGGGGAAAAAAAACAAAACGAGTAAAAAGACAACGATGTAAAGTGCTCAATACACTAAGTAGAGTGATAAACTAAAATAATCCTCAAGAGCCAGGCAAACCTACCTAGGTTTTGCCTAAACTGATCTTCAGGGCTTTACCCTGAAGATCCACTTAGGTGAAACCTTATATATATATATATATATATATATATATATTTGTGTGTGTGTGAAAATATACCTGTAAAAGGACAATATAAATAAAGACAAAAGAAAAATTTATTTGAACCAATGTTTTTCGTCCTCTGATGGACTTTATCAAGGCAAATGTCAGGATTTTCTTTTGAAGTTAGTTTTTCAGAATTTCAAATATAAGAATGGTCATGTATACAGATGAGGTTAACTAAAAGGAAAATTATGGTGGATGGTAAGTGATGTAATTTAATGTTAAATGAATGAAAGTTAGTAAATATTGTACAATTTATTTTTATAATGTGATTGTTTTAGTTTGAGAAATTCAGTTATGTATTACATATTTTAAATAATAGAAGATTTTGAATTTAACTGTTTTCTTTAAATTTAAAAAAGAATTATTGTCATATGTATTGGCATGGGGAAAGAGTATGTCTTTTATGCAAGATATTTAAAAAAAAAATTGGGGCTCAGATTTTGTTATGTCATCAACAAGACCCATTGTTGCCAATCTATGGCAACATATACTAGTTTGATAATTTGTCAATGCCAATGTAGTAGGACTTTTTGTAATCACAGATACCAATTATAATGCGCCATTGAACAATACTGGTGTTACACATCTTATAATAACACTCATACTTAGTATAATGAATAGAATAGAGAAGAAATAGAGATCTGTATAGCATAGAAGGATAGACTAGAGAAATAGTAAACACAACTAGACATCATGTGACATTCTCTATATATACGTTTTCTCTATGGTCACATAATCTTCTTAGTTTAATGAGATCACGTGTTCGTTCCCTGGCAATCTACGTTCAAACATGTGTCATTAGTGACATTTTATTCCTATATAACAGATTTATATTTTGGTAAGATTTGATAGTGAGACTTTCAAGAATTTTTATAAAGATCCTTCATTTCTATCTCTCTTCCCTGTCCCAGTTCCTTCATTTCTATCTCTCTTCCCCGCCCCAGGTCCTTCATTTCTATCTCTCTTCCCCGCCCCAGGTCCTTCATTTCTATCTCTCTTCCCCGCCCCAGGTCCTTCATTTCTATCTCTCTTCCCCGCCCCAGGTCCTTCATTTCTATCTCTCTTCCCGTCCCAGGTCCTTCATTTCTATCTCTCTTCCCCGCCCCAGGTCCTTCATTTCTATCTCTCCCCGCCCCAGGTCCTTCATTTCTCTCTCTTCCCCGCCCCAGGTCCTTCATTTCTATCTCTCTTCCCCGCCCCAGTTCCTTCATTTCTATCTCTCTTCCCCGTCCCAGTTCCTTCATTTCTATCTCTCTTCCCCGTCCCAGTTCCTTCATTTCTATCTCTCTTCCCCATCCCAGTTCCTTCATTTCTATCTCTCTTCCCCGTCCTAGTTCCTTCATTTCTATCTATTCACCTCAGTTCATTCATATCTCTCATACTAAATTAATACAGTCAAAGCAGACATGTTATGTCCAAAGTAATTGAATATCTTAGTGTTTCCACCTCCATTCTTTTCTGTCCTTATCTCTGTCTTTTTTGTCACATTCTATTCTTCTTTTCATTCTCTCCCTCTCCCCTACTCTATACACTCTCATATATTGTTCTTTTTTTGTTCACCCTCAGTTGTTGGACATTAAGCCACAAACCCAACAACAGGAAAGTAGAAAAACAAAAACTAAACAAAAAAGTGAACCAGACATGTCGTATATTTAAATTCTACCATAGAACAGAGTAAGGAAACAGTAGCTGCTTAATTTTCTGATTCAATTTCCAGACATGCCTGTGGGTTGGGAAAACAGGAATATCAAAGTTGAATATTATTACAAAGAAAGTGGAAGAAAGTAATTAGTCTTGTGTATGAATACAATTATTTTGTAGCAGCCTATTTTTTTCATGGTTCATGCATATGTAGCACTTCTTCATGAATTTTGGATCAGAGTTGCATTATGTGTTTCTTAGTTGATTTTAATTAACATTAAATTTCAAAACAGAAAAGGAGACTTCACACTGTTTTGATTGGTTCATTGTCTGACCCATTTCAGGTAGAATTTTTGTCTGCTGTAGTTTTATAGATACTGTCTCTTTGATTTTATGTTAAGTTCTGTTGAATTTTGTGTTTCATTCCTATACAAAAGGATACCGGAAAGGCATTGCTTTAACCTTTTTCCTGAGATCTAAGTAAGGTTTTAACCTCCATTAAGCTACCTTGGCAATATCAGTGGAGAGACAATCTGCTAAGTGGCTCTAGCATTCCAGATTTGTGGAGGTGCACTTACAAACTGTTGTATCATCCATATAGATGCTCACTGGAGTATGCTCTTAGGCAGATCATTAATAGGAAGAAGGAAGGACTGCGGAGAGAACCCTTTGAACACTGGCATTGATATTATGGGCTTTCAATGAGTAGCCATTAACAATGACTTTCAGGGACCTTCCTTTTAGAAAGGACTTGATAACTGATAGAGCTCTTCCAAAACTTACATAGATGGAGATGTTATTTAAGTCTCTGTTGCAACATCTTGTCAAAGAGCTTTGATATATATAAAACAATTGTTCTAATGATGAATTTATTATCTTGTGACTTGCTGATTCAGTGAATAAAGACAGTTAAGAATCAGCTGTGGATCTAGCAGAATGAAATCTGTACTGGTTA